ACGAAAAAGATATGGAAGTAAGAGAGATCTAACCGAGTGGTTCAATGATACCTGCCTACGGGCGGCAGTGGGTGGGTTAAAAAAAATTAAAGAAGCGTAGCAACGCTAACGACTGACAGAGAGAATATCAGACCATCTCATCGCAGTCGCCTAGTCATCCCTTCATTATCTTGTAGTCTTGACACAACTCTTAAGCATGTTTCCCATGCTTCTCCAATTCAAACTTTTTAATATGTTCACTCGAACGTCGGAATCAACTAACTCTGGGTTTCTAACTCAGAAATTCTAAGTGAAAGCCCAAGTCCATCAACTCCCATAGAGCTCCACCAGCGTGATCGGGTGTCGTTATCCGACAATATCTCGAAGGGTATTCATGGTTTTTATGGATAATTCATTGAATTAAGGAATGCGTAATTCACACCGTGTTATCGTATGTACAACACGGGCTAAACCTCCATCCACCGCTTCGTATTGTATGATACCATAGCTGAACTGGTTAAGGGTGCACTTTCACGTGCTCGCAGTTGGGGTTCTATTCCCGGGTACGGTTATACTGATAGTCTGTATGTACTACGTGCGCTCTACCACCTTGCACGGTGCAAGTTGCACCGTCTTGTATTTTATAATCTAACAGCTCAACTGGTTAAGAATACGCTTTCACTTAATTGAAGCCGAGGTTCTATCCCCCAGTGCGTTCATTTTAAGAATCTACTTGCAAGCAGCTGAGAAGGCCTACCGAGGCGCGCTGAAGTCGTGAATCAAGGTCGAGAATCAGAATCAGGGTTTGGTACCGAAGGTCCGGACCCCCGGTACGAATCAAGGCACCAGAACGTGAAAAATTGAGATACTGGCGGCGTGAATATGATTCGGAATCACATGCTGAGTAAAAATCTGATTCTGAATCTGTGGCGTTCTCGACTTGAGTAAAGTACTCACGGTATGAGTTTTGAATCACAATCACGTTGAAAAAATCTAGAATCATGATTCTTACTCACTGGGTTGAGTAAATACTCTGACTCATTGATTCACAATCAGAATCAGTGGCTGAGTATGATTCTGAATCAGGAATCAGGAATCGTACTCGCGAATCCTGAATCTGAACCTGGAATCAGTAATCATACTCACGAATCATGAATCTTACTCATGAATACGGAATCTGAATCAACACTTGTGAATCATGGTGTGAGTTGAATAAAAATCGGAAATGAGGTAGTGAGTTGAATTAGTACCTGTGGATCACAGGTATGCAGCGCATACCGCCCCAGACTGACTATGACATTATCATTTTTAGCGTCCTCGCTCTCCCATGAAAATATCATATAGAAACATGGCCTCTCACTAACTACGTACTCACCTTGACCCAACTACAGCGGAACTTAGACCGGTGTAGTTGACGCTAGTCGCTGCTCGATGTTCCGTCGCTGCGGGACTCATCATACATACCGGTGTCGGAGAATCTTCTACGAGATGTCTTGCGCCAAGCTCCTCGGCGGCTTAGACCACCTTCTGAAGTCCAGGGTATCGCCGATATCACCACCGAAGGCGTGGACCAAAGTGAGTAGTAGATCGTGAGTTACACATCGCCGAAGGAATAGTTGTCTTACCGATTTACGGAAAAATTTGCGCTTGAGAAAAGGGGTCACACTTCGGAGTCGTGCGACGGGTGGAACAACGATCCTTCTCCGGAACATGGAAAAGGCGCATTTTGATCCGCACTCGCATGGAAATGCCATCCTCTACCATGGTGCGGCTCAGCAGTGTCATGATATTTCGCATGATCTCCCTAACCATCAGCTCCGACTTGAGAGCATTCAGCTGCAGTGGAGGACCTCCACTCAGTGGAGTCCACTGGCACACTACCTCCACTGGAGGCAGTGGTACAGATGGGGTCTTGATCTGACCATCCCATGTAACTTAGCCTAACAACAGCCACAACGCATCACTGGCCTAGTGCGCTCTAACCACATCCACCCGACTCGGGTGTGTGCCGGGCCCGTATCGGTGTGCAACAAGTAAAACCTAGTTCGCACCATGCGGTCTCTGCCATATAACTTTGAACCTTCGGCGCATTCGCAGGTCATGGATTTCCCGATTGCGGATCTGTAGATAACGCAATAAGACTACTAGTCTGAGACTAGTGACAACGTTCAACGTTGCTTGATTGGCAATCTCGCGCGCACGTGGTAATCCAGACTTCGGTGAATGGCCCCTCGGTTCTCCAATCCCACACTCTCGAGTCGGAGGGGCTTCCGTGTATCGAAGAGTACGACCGTGCAAGATGCGGAGGTAGCTCCTGTGAGGGCCGCTATCATAAGGCGTAATCTATCCGAACATGCTCTCGGACTGACAGTTAGAGCCATGGACTATGGAGCGAGCAACTAAAGTTTAACCCATGGCGGCACCGTCTATGAGAGTCAGGTGGCAGCTGAGCCGCCGCCGAATTTTTCACATGTCATCGCGATGGTATGTAAAAAATTCGGAGGATGGGCGGTTACGTCGTTCACTTTCCTAAGGCTTTCACCGACACTGTCGGGTGAAGTAGCCACAACTTGTGGCCCACAAGTTGAGAATTTCTCGCTCTTCACTGTTTTCAGGATTCACTGTTATCAATCGCGCCGCTATGATATGGAACGCGATGCAGATCCGCTCACCTCGCGGTTACATCTCAGCAGTGCCAGTTCCTAGCGTAACGACTCGACCATCCGAATCTGTATTTAACCTTGGTTAACAGTTTATCCCAAATTGCGTGTATCCCTCCCCAACGACCCTTTCAACAATCAAAGTTGCTCACGGTTACAATTCACATTAATCGCTCTTACTTGCTTCAACAGCACGGATCCGAACGGTAATCCACGGCGCGAACTACGAACTCGACACATGTGCGTGAAACTCAAAAAATTATATATACCAAATCCCCAGCTACACGGCTGTATGCGACATCAGATCTTCACGTTCGCAGAAAGTGGTGAATGGCCCATTCAGAATGGGATTTGAGCAATAGATCGAAAATCTATCCAACAAGGGAAAGACCACAAAGATAGACGAAAGTTCACAAAGAGATCGTTATGAGATGAAGTCGAAATGGGGAAATTATACGGTCCTTTTTCCAAGTATCTTATTAACAGCCGCCGCAGCATTCACGCGGCCGAAGGAGAGAGTCTTTTCTCCTTTACTGTCCTTGACACCTTTGGTGGCCGTATCCATAATGATACTTTTGATATAAGCAGGAGTCAGCTTAGTCTTCAGAGAAGGTTCAAGGCTGTAGAGCATCCCAGCTATACCTGCTACGATAGCGGCGGCAGCCGAAGTGCCCGTATCTTGAGAATACTGCCCATCAAGATGGGTTGTAGATATTTTGTAACCTGGAGCGGCAATGTCAACAGCTGAGCCAAAATTACTCGCGTCGTGAAGCTGCATTTCGGTACCCTCTGTGGCTGCCACACAGATAATTCCTTCACGGTGTAGTTTACGGCCGGAACAAGGATAGTCTTTGATCTTGTCCATGTCCATATGCTCATTTCCTGCAGTCACCACAACGAGCATGCCAGCTGCAGCGGCTGCGTGAATCCTCTGCATCAGGATTGGGACGGGTCCTGTGAAATCAACCGTATACAAGACCACTTTAACATCACCTTTCGTCTCACGCACGATATATTTGAAAGCCTTAGCACCATCCACATTATACGGAATTTCACCCGTAGATATGGGCAGTATACGCACATCGTTCAGAATACCCGCTATACCGATCTTGTTATTTCTGATAGCGCCAATGATGCCAGCCATGTGGGTTCCATGTGGTCCTCGAGGACTGGTATCATCATTCTTATCAACGACGTTGTAGCCCTTGATGACGGTACCCTTCAAGTCAGGGTGACTTGCCTCGATTCCATCGTCTATAACTGCGATGGTCACCTGCGTTCTCTTTGGTATAGAGTCCAGGATACCCCAAGCCATCGGTACAGAGATGGCCTCAAGATAAGCCTTTTGTTGATAATAGAATCGGTCGTTGGGATCGCCGTTCACAGGACCGAACCCACTCACCCTTGCCTTGACATATTGAAGGTCGCACGAGAAGAACCAGAATGATGTTACGAGGAGCTTCATTGCCAGGCACTAGAATGAGTTGTCTGTTGTGCCGAAGTGTACGCGTGAACTACTCCCACCGTATCACGTAGATTGGATGGATGCGGGGCGGATCATCCGTGTTGGTACGTACCGATCCGAACGTTAAGCCCCGGCGCGAACTCCGAACTCGACACTTGTGCGTAGAGTCAAAAATTACCTATAACAGATCCTCAACTACACGGGCTACGTGTGACATCAGATCTTCACGCTCGTGGAAAATGGCGATTGGAATTCAAATATTAAATCGACAACCCATCCAACAATTGGAAGACCACCTAGATAGACAAAAGTTCACGAAACAAGTACGTGAATGGCTCCGTCGCCATAACTGATGACATGAAGTCGAAATGGAGAAATTATATCGTCACTCTTTCAAGTATCTTATTAACATCCGCCACAGCATCCAGGAGCCGTATGCGGATCCTGATGCAGCAGGTGAGTCAGAGTATTTACTCAGATGAAAAAATTAGATGGTGAGTCATAAAACCTGATTCACTGATTTTTTACTCTGGAGCGAGAAATCAGGATCATCGCGAGGATGTGTGGATCTCTGAGCTGATTCGAGAAATTCAAGTTGATTTTCTGGCTGATTAATAT